ATTCCCTTTCAAACGAATGGTCAACAGTTGAAAGCAAAAGGTGCCAAGTTTTGCACTGTTGATTAGGCTTTTGAATCTATTTAGCCATAAAGCTATAGTGTGAAAGTACAGCAAAAGGCTAAATCCCAAGCAGCAAATTGAATTAAGGTCAATCAATAATTTGGTGGGCCACAAATCTGATAGTCACACCGCTGCTACTTTAGTTGAAAATTTTGACAGTGTAAAGACAATAATTTTAAATGAATGCAGTGTCTTTGGACATTGGATTGCAATTATTTTAGTAATTAAAGAAAAACAAGGAGGGTAATAAAAGATAGAAAGAAAAGGATCACTATTGAATGCTCCATCAACCTAGTGCAGGCATTATGCCAACCAAAAAGGTCTCACTTTAACAACATGATCCTCCAATTCATAATTCTGTTGTAATTGTACAATGGTCCACCCAGGAAATTGATCACTAGCTGGGTGGAGTAGGAGTGACCTATTTGGGTGAGAAATGGAATTTGTTTGGCCATGCCTCAAATGAGAGCTTTTACAGTGTTGAGAAGCTGTTGTGCCTGAAATCCCTATAGTGGTAGAGGGCATCATCACAGCAACATAAAGGCTATTCAATTTTAGCTGTGTATATGTTTGTGGTTGAATTGAATGGTATCAGAGTGACATTTTTTCACCATTTGATCAGAGCCTTGATTGGGAAACAGGATAATAAAGGCACACCCAATATACAAATTCCACTTAAAATTTTTGGCAATTGTAGCTTGCAACATTTAATTAGACTGGACCAATTTCTTTATTTTGTAGTAGAGGAACCTTACAAGTTACAACCACCTTTGGTGCAGAGATCTCGGACCATGACCAAAGCGGGACCAGCGTGGTGCGTGCATTATAGCCTGTGAAAGAATCACATCTTTTTCCTCTCACCTTCCCAGTTCTCACCATTTAACCAGAACAAGCCATCTATATATCATAAAAATGTGTATATTTTCCTTTTCTGATTGCTAGGTGAAATAATTAAATAGATGTGGAGTTATCTAAAGTTATTATAAGTGATAAAATTCTTCTTTTTGATGTTATAAGAGTATATTATATGTAATCTTTATTTTTATATTCATATCATGGTCATAGAACGTGATTTTTTATTTCAACCTTTTTAAGTGGAGTAAATAGAAAAAATTTGCAATTTTAGTTCTTAAAAGTTTGTATGTATAATTTAATCATTGAACTTCCTAAATTCATTCTTAAAGTTAACCTAATTTGTTTTAGCTTGCTTGTTTTTTGTTTTCTTTACCAAAAAAAAACTTATTCTAAATTACAAACTAATTTTTTTTTTTTCAAAAATTAACATAAACAAGGGTTAGTTCAACATGGCACTGATAGATTTTAAGAGTATATTGTATACACAGAGGAATTGAATCAATACAAATTATTATTTTTGAGAATAAAATTATGTATTTATTCTTTTTGAACGAGCTCAATCAAACCCTTCTTTATCAATTCAATGATTAAAATCAAGAAGTAAATTTGATAACAAATTTTCTAATTATCTAAGTATTTACTGTATATTAGTCTTTTTAATATTTAAGATATTATTTTCTAACGGAATGATATTTAATAAATGATAATTAATGTCTTTACAATATCAGTTAAGTTCAATTTAAAATAGAATATCGACTTTAATTGAATTTTAATTGACATTAATTAAGTAAGAAGTTTATAAAATTGAGGTCTAGAATTTTTTATGATCACGAACTATTTGATAAGATCAAGACACTAAGAAAAGGATGAGTGCTTGTAAAAAAATATTTTGTCAATAAAAATTTTATAATCTACCAAAATAACGGTGTGTAAGAAATGCATATTTGTTATAATGACATTGACTATATTAATAGTTATTTGAGTTAAACTAATTTTTTTTGGGTAAACTCAAGGCCTTTTAAAAACAATATTATCCTATTTAATGTACCTTTACTTTTAACACATGTAAGATTTATTTCCCTAAGATATATTTTAGAAAACTGGCATTAAGGTATTTTGACCTCAATTAACACTATTGATTTTGCATTAATGTAACACTTTAGGATGAATTAGCTCATTACATGGATTGTATCTTAAGTCTAATCTAAAACAAATCAATATAATAAAATATAACTATTATTTGTTATTATATAATTTAAATTAAAATTATACTATGTCAATTAATAGTTAAGATTAAAATTAGTTATCATGTTTAATTATATTTGGCTTCATATTTTTCTAGGAGTTTAAAATGACTTCAACTCAAAAAATTGATCCACATAATCCATTCAAATGGTTTAAGTTATACTTTTAACCCTTCAACTCTCATAATTTAAAATGTTAACCTAACAAGTTGAACAGTGAATTAGACTAAGCTGACTCATTGAATTATCCTATTTTTTGGTCTTGACTTTTGTCTATTAACATTAATTTGTGGTATTTTAATTGTAGATAAAAATATTTTCTCCTTAGTTCCTATCTTTTTCAAGGTTGAAAAATTTTCCTTCCTACATGAAAAGTTAAATAGAAATAGTAAAATAGGAAAAAAAATATAAAATATTTAATTTCTTTTTTAAAAAATGTCTAAAGTCCCAAGTCCAGTTTATATTATGATGCACTACATTTTATTTGTAATTTATTATTATTTCTTAATTATAATGAACGTACTAACCATGTAAATGTTTTTATACTATCATCTACTCTTAGATTATCATTCGTTGTAAGATATTACAATTGTTAATTTTATAAGATGTATATTTTTTTAAAAGTCATGTATGATTATTTCAGTTTTAATATTATAAAAATCTTTATATGAGATTTTTCTTCTTCTTCTGATTTGTCGTTAGAACCCACGCTTCAATGATTTAAAAAAAAATATATGCTGATGATGAGATATTGTCCGCTTTGGGCCTTAGCCCTCACGGTTTTGCTTTTTGATCATCACCCAAAAGGCCTCTCAATCATTGAAGTATGTTTGTATTATATAAGTTGTTATTTGTTGTATTATTTTATCGATGTGGGACTTGTTTGAATCCCAACAATCTTGTTTGAATCCCAACATATGCAAAACACATAGTCGAGAGACTTTAGCTAATAAAATTATTATTTAACTTAAAAAAAAAATAATGGCAAGAGGAATTGATTTTACAATTAGATTGTAGCATAACTAAATTCAACCAAAATTTTAAGATAACATATGATTTAATAAATGTTTTATAAGTTTATTTGCAAGTTTCACATTTTAAGTTAACATTGTAAATTTTGATCATGCAAATAAATAAAGAAGAACCAGAAGACCATACTAGAAGACATATCCGGCATTGAATTGAACCTAACAAATTATAAATTCATGTTATGCTTCATCTGATATATAATATGGATTTGTGAGAGAATAACTTCTTTTTCTTATCAATTTTGTGGGGAAAAAAGAATAGACCATTGTTAAAAAAAATATAAAAAAAAAACAACTTATCAACATACTCGTTCGAATTGACTTTTTGACACCTTTACAAAACAACATAGCGGTCTTGGGCTCGTAAGTTAGCCATATAGCCCAACAAAATCAAGCAAACATCACGGAGGTTAGGACTCACTGTATTTTTTTTATAAAAAAAATACGACTCATCAATTTTGAAATGCATGTCAAATTCGTCCATTGTATTAAGATTGTAATCTGTAATACAACACCATTTTTTTTATTGTTTGACTGGTGAGAAATTATATTAAACTGTAAATTTGTCAATTTGATATTCTTAGATGGGTTAGTGTTTATGTTAAAATAATATTTAATTAACGAAAATCAAATTTTATAAATATAAATTAATCTTTAATTATTAAGTTTAAAATATTACATCAATTATATCCGTAAAGAAAAAAAATTGTAAATTTGTAATTCAACATTATATCGTGTGCTTCTGTGTAAATTTTTTTTAAAAAAATCTTAAATATGCTACGTAAGTTTTGAAATCACCCCTGATCTTCATCTGGCTTCCAATTTTTTTTAAATAATTTATTTTATGCTGTAAAAAAATAATTCATTTTATATTATAAATTTATTGAAATTTTAAATCCAAACTCAGCACATTAGATTAATGGTTTTTTTAATAGATAAACTCAAATTTAATGGGCCTGATTTGAAGTTGTTTTTTAATTTTTTATTTTTGAATTATTATATTTTAAATTATATTTTTTTCTCTCAATACATTTTTTTTATAATTTTAGTAAGTATTAATTTAAATTTATTTTTATATTTTGATATATTATATCAATGTAATAAATACAAAAATAATATTTTTTATCTATAAAAATTATAATGACGAAAAAAATAAACATATAAATACTATTTCAACCCACTCCTAGACAGACTCCATTGGATAAAAAAATTCATGTCTTTTATTTAAGGAGGAAAATGGATGCTCAAAACGGGATGAAATGGGCTTTTAAATGAGTGGATCAATATATAATCTTTCTTGAAAGTTGAAACCTTTAAGCCAATAAATTCAAGAATCTAAGAATTATCGAAACAAATGGTAAACACGACCTATATGCAGTGATTTTTATCTAATATGATTAATATTTGAGTGCAAGAACCAATATTTACCGATTCATGCAAATTTATATCAATGATGATCAAAAATCACACAAATGATGCATAACTTCAAAATTAGTAAGAAATTAAATAGAAGATTAGGGTTAAAAGATACCACCCAAACAAATTTATGTTAGCTTGATCACGATCACTATCATTATATCATTACAAGTATAATCAACATCAGCTAGTCTCCAAACAATATTTTTTTGAATCACCCCAAATAATATTTTCACTGATATAAAGATTTCTATAGCAACAATGGACTGTTAGGAACACATTCCCACCTTCAATTACCCAAGTTATCATTTTGTCCAAGGCTAATTCTATCCATCTAGGTTTTATGATTCCTAGTGTCAACTGTCAAGTAAAGAATGAACTGTTACAATAAATCACATGCAAAAAATCACGTAACAACATATTTTTTAAATCCAGATAACAATCCGTATTGAACCATTCATAATGTTCCACCTGGACTCAATCTACAACAGAACCTCAGAATTGCACATCCTTTACAAACCACTTTACAATCAATAGCAATCAAAGTGAGAAACATACAATACAACAGATTTCAATTTGTTTCTAAAATAAGGGGCAAAAGAATTATCTATGTTACATATAGAGCCTGGGAATTTTCACATGGCCATACCAAACTACCTAAAAAGTAATCCGATCAAACTCACAAAATATGCCTTACACTGGCTGTCCAACTAAAAGATTTCCTACTTGTGGGTTGTGGGGCAAAGTTGAGTCCAAACATCTCCTTAAATGCTTGTTCTGGCTCTACTAAACCAACCAACTTTGCAACAATTGATGCACTGTCTCTAACGTGGTCCATGTCATTTGTGTCGCTCCACAATTGATGGGCCAATTGCAAACTCCTATGCTTTGAACTCAAACGAAGGCCCCATTTCAAGTAAAGGTTCTGTCTATCATATTTAGACAGCCGCTTATGCATTTGCTTGCTCAACATTTGCCTCTCTTTTCTAAGGTATCTCATGCTGTTTTCAAGTGAAAGACATTGTTAGTTTTATTATCGTAAAAGATGTAAAGTTTCAATTTAAAGATCTGCAAAGGAATAGAATAAAGGGCATGTCTGGATAATTTTTTTATAAACACTTGTAGGAAAAGAAAATAAGAAAGAAAATAAAATTAGTTTTTTTATAAGCTAATTTGTAAAAATTATTTCATATTAGCTTTTCCAGAAACTTGTTTTAACTTACAGAGAAACTAGTTTAACTTATTCAGAAAATTATTTTATATTTTTTCTCTTATAAATGCTTATGGAAAAGTTTACCTAAACACACCTAAAACTTTGGTAGTTGAAATATGTTACCTTGACTCAGGTGTGAGGGTTCGTCCATCTTCCACTATCTGATTGCCTTGGGAAAACGTTTGCTTAAGGTATGATAGCCTTCTAAGCTCTACCTCCATGTAAATAGAATCTGATGGATCCCCTTTGAATAAAAGGAAAAAGTAAGTCCTGTGAACCAATGAAACATTACAAGCATTCCAGAATTCAATGATCTCTCTTTGCAGCCTCTTGAATTTTGAAGGCCAGTCTAAATGACTTTCTCCATCAGCTTGCATTAGGTCCAATCCAATGTCTTTGACATCGTTTGTAGACATTTTGGGATCCAATCCTGTCCCCAGAATCTGTCATGCAAAACAACTTAAACAATTACTAATTGAATTCTCAACATATCCAAACTTTTGGCATGTGCATGTGCTACTTATATCTATACTATTAATTGGGTTTGACCCGATATTTGGCCATAAAGCCTGGGAAACATAAGAAGTAAACTGTATAATAAAAGCTTACCTTATGGTCAGCAAGTAAATTTATGTTCTCAAGATTTTCCGTTTCCTTTCCTTTTGGTGCCAAGGGCCTATTACCCTCATAGGATTTTACATGCTGTACATCATCAACAGCAGAATTTTCCACAGAATTCCCAAGGCCATTACATGAATGCCTTCCTGCATTGGCATTATAATTTAGTGCACAAATCTTCTTCAGAACGCTCTCAGGTCTTCCAGCAAAGTTTCTTTCATTCCCTATTGGGGGTGTGCTCTGAATTACATCTTCATCATCAAACCAATCTGAAGATAACTTCCTCATGAAACTTGCCTTACAACTTCTACTTCGGCTCAAGCTCAACTTCAAGTTTCTAGAACTACTAGTACTGTTTCCTGTCATGCACACAGAAATTTCTTTTGGAGAGGGAAGAACAAAATCTTGGTGCAAATGGTTCAACCTCCTGTCTTCCTTTAACACAGATGGACAAGAATCTAGCTTTTCCTTCTCTCTATTACCAACTACAATCAATCCTGAGAGAGCTGTGTTTGCGCTAGGAGATGATGCATTAGAATCAGTGCATGTGCTTGATCTTGAATCTGCTTGGTTTGAGTGTGTACGAGTGTTTGTAACTAGGTCTTCTAACTCAATGCACCTAACTTCCTTACAATTGTCCTCTTCATGCTGATCATCAACATTTTTCTGATCCAAATCATTAGGAAGCCCTGGGGAAGAACTTCTGACCAGAAGATTCTTTTCAAGGTCAGGAAGTTGGAATAAGTTCTCATCAGAACTGAAACTATGTCCATCTGAATATTGAGATGCATCAAAAGACCTGACACTCTCTTCACCGTCAAGACTTAATACATTTGGCTCCTCTCTTTGATTTTCAAAGTTCCATGAATTTCTCACATGTAAATTTGGATATTGAGGATCCAAACTTTCCTGGAGATTTGACGAGAAAATTGGTTAGATTAAAAAAAAAATGGTATATCATTTACTATTTTTAATGTTTTTTGGGCAAGCAAATATACTCACCAGTTCTGTTGCAGACACATTACCACCATGCCCTTGGAGCATGTCACTAATTCGAGAATGTGCAAGGTCTCGCTGCAAGGTCAGATCTTTTACCTCTTTCTTTAACTGCATGGACAGTAACATCGTTCATATTAACAAAATTCATATTTACAAATTTCAACCAACAAGAAACAAATGCTCAGAGGTAGGTAAGCTTCAATGTCCTCATTCCTTGGTGCTATTTATCAAATGTTCAGTGACTATATATAAAAAGCACATTTATTGGACTTGTCACCTCAAAAAAAAAAAATATATCTAGTGGAATGAAAGAAATTATCTCAAGTAGACTTTATTGTTGATGCTTTCCATAAAATGTTTGGCACCATTCGATAAGCATGTAAATAGAAGATGAATTAGAAATTTTCTTTAAGTGTCAAGACATGAGGAAATTTACATATATATAACTAATATATTTTTTTAATTCAACCTTCTACAAGGATTGTGATGGATTACCTAAGGTTCCAAGTTAAAACATGTATAAAAGGGAGTGTCACAAAGAGAGTAGATCTCAGGTTTTAATGTTTTATGATTAAAAAGCATTAAATGATCTATAACTTGCTACTGGAAAGAAGCAAGAATAGTTTAGGTTTTAATGTTGGAAATTTTCAGCATAAGATGAAACGTTCCGGGAAACAATATTAGGTGGAAGCCTCATAATGGAGGACAGTTCAACATAACAAATTAGTATTGGAGTATGTAACTAAGGAGATGCAACAATACAGAAGGTATGTGATTAGATTTGGACAGTATAACATTGCAGAATCAGTAAAAAAAACAATTGAATCAACAATCAAGTGACAATATATACTACATTAACTAATAATAAATGTCTGAAATCAATCCCTAAATTTAAGGAGAACCATGGCATCTCATTAATTGAGAGGATTACAGTCAACTATTCCATTTTTATTTCATTCTTATAATTTTTGGATTTCTAGTTAATTTTGGGAATATAGTATTTATTAGTTCCTTTTTCTATTTCTTCCTTCTTTCTATATAACGTATCCTTCCTCATATGAAATAATTTTCTTCATACTCTGCTCAAAGTACAAGGATATTACATGTAAAACTGCATGGCTCATATATTTTATCATTTTATATATGAGGAATCTTAGCATTTTTCCAAGATGTGGTGTCAGATACATACTACAAACCTATACTAAACCACAAAAGATATTCAGTTTTAGTACAAAATCTTTATAATTACCATCTCAATTTGACGGTCTTTGTCTCTCAACAATGCTGCAGTATCAGATGTAAGGTGGGCTGGCCCCGAGTTTCTCAATTCATCTTCCAGTCTAGCCAACTCTTTTTGTAATTGCTTGACTAGTGCTTTATCAGACACCACTACATTGACTTGTGCATTAGTTGTCACTTCTTTTGCACAGCTTGCAAATAAGAGAGTGTTTCTGGTTTGTTCAACATGGCTCCGTGCAGGGCTCATGGTGCAGATGATAGCAGTTCTAGCATTGCCTCCTAATGAGGACTGCAATATGCGGGTTAGCTTTGAATCTCTGAAAGGAATATGTCCATTTCTCCCCTTGCTGCAACCGAAATTTTTATTTTTAGATGAAATTAAAGAAATATTCAACACGACTTCCCAAATTAAATAAATTATTGCTAATATGTCAAACATTAATTATATTGGTTGTTCAAAAAAAACATTAATTATATTGAATTATGGAACAATAAAAAAAAGACTATAAAGCATGTCTGTTTATAATGTCCCATAGCAGTAAAATATATTGTAGCACAGTATGATTGGCTAAGTAACTCCATCCTAAGGATAATGTAAATACATAACAAAGTGTGAAGGAGTTTGAGGCTTTTTATAGTAGACGTTAGTTCCTTCAATAACTTGCCAATGCTTGCTATAGTTACCTATCTGCACCAAAAGAGAAAATAAAAACAAATAATAGAATAGACCATTTGATCAAAATGAACAAGATTAAAAGTGAGTAGTGACAGTAAAGGCCAGGGACAAATGAACTTTATTTGTATCTATTAATTATTTTGTATTCAACACAGTTATATGTGGTGGGTGCTACTGTTAGAATCAGAAAGATCTATAAACCATAATACCAAAAGCCATTGCAAGGACAGTAGTCTCGTGTAGCTAAAGAGAGCCATGCAGTTATAAAAGTGAACAACATTATAACATCTGAGAATCCAGATTGTGTCTCAGTACTCTTTCAAGCTTATCTGAAGTTAAATTACATGTGAAGCAAAGGTTCTGTATTTTGGGATGTCACAAACATTAAAACAAAATCTTCATAAGCTAACCTGAGTTTGCGGATAACAGTTCCTAGAGTTAGTAAGCTACGATTTATGTGGCAACCCTCTTTCAATCTTGTGCCAGCTGAGTTGGTTTGGGATGCTCGCTCACTTCCAGCAAGATCAACAAAATTCTGTACCCAAAAAAAGAAAAGGAAAAATTATTTGATTTCCTATAATTTCTTTAACACAAAAAGCTGACACTTCAATTGTTTTCCTATTAACTAAGGGAATCAGTCATACCACGGAAGAAGAAAGAGAGCTAGACTTGTCATTTCCAAGGAATTCACGTGCAGAACTTTCAATCGTCTGAGGAACCAAATTGTTGAGGGAATGTAAGTGAATAACATAAAGTTCACAAAGTTAGTAGCCCTTTAACAAAAATAATAACATAAATTACCAGTCTTAGAATTTGATGAGATCTGGAGCTTGCTTCATTCAGTGATGTCTCCCCTATCTGCCTTTGAGCTGCAAAATTGCAATAAATTGAAGGATAAGTAAGCAGCTAGCTCTAGCTGGACGAAAAAAAATAAAAATTGTAAAGTGGAAAATAAAACAAAATGAAATATATTCAGTCTAGGTAACTGTGACGAAATAAAAATCATTCACTTACCTTCACAGAAAGAAAGAAGTTCTGTAAAATGGTTCCAGTCTCTTAAGGTTTCCTCAGTCAGTTTCTCAACAACTGTCCCTCTCTGTCAAATTGACAGACAGTAGGTAAAATTCACATATACTATCTCTGTAAAATATAATGAAGATGTTTACCTCTGGATCATCAAGAAGTCGGAGAGGAGTACAGTCTGGACTAAGGAGGTCCCTAACAGATTCATTATAAATCTCAATTGCCGAAAACTTCAACATGAATTCTCTCTCCGTGTGCTGTAAAAAGATAAAACCAAATCAAAGAAACGTTTTTGAGAGAGACAAGGTAATGCATTGACATGTTCATATTTCACTTGCCTTTTCTATGTAGTTAAAAATGTCTGCTACTGTGTATTCAGTTATGCCACTCATGGTGTATGTCTTCCCACTACTTGTTTGTCCATACGCGAAAATGCTTGCTGATCAATCAGACCCCAGGAGGAGAGATCAAAAAAAGATGTTAACACGGAAATTCCATGTATGTTGATGAAGGATGAATAGAAAACAAAGGGAAGAAACTCACAATTGATGCCACCGACAACTGAAAGAGCAACTTCCTTAGCTGCTTTTTCATACACCTGCCTTGTAGAACAATCTGACCGAAATACACTGTCTATAGCCAAAACAAAAAAGCAAAGCGAGGCAGATCAGAAGAGGAAAACAAATTTTACAATAGCCAATTATGAACATGGTAGAATAATAAGTTCGCTAACAAAACCATTGGACCAACTTCAACTTCATGAGTAGATTGGACCAGATTTGTAACATAAAACAGAAACATTTGGCTTACAAAAGGAATCACTACAACAATCCGGGGCTGCATTATAGGAATTAAATTAAATCAAATATGATGAAAATTGGAAGTGTCTTCATACCAAATGAATATGCTGTTGGGTAGAGTGACCTGTCAGGAGCTGAAAGGTTGCTCCTGTATATGATGGTAGTGTCATTGATGCATTCCCAGTCCGAAACATCATTTCTCGCAAGCTCCATTTTGTTGAGTGGGCGAAGCCGCACAGAAACAAGAATCCTCTCTTCGTGACCATGAGGCTCTTGAATTGCATCTTCCCCTCCAACAGAACCCATTTCTTTCTACAAAACTAGTCTAAACTCTAAACTCCAGTTCCAACGATGAGAATGATATCACATTGAATTCTGAGCATTCCAAAGACCACTCTGGTATTCAGTTAATTATCACTGATTGTGTCGCATTGTTGTGATGGTACGGAACACAAGGACCACTAAAAGTTTCGGACTCCAATCATTACCTGCGGCAAGAAACTAATCACAGATTACCGCTCCGTTCAGCAGAATGAAGATAAAATATTGTAAACAAATTATATATTATAGTCAGAGATGTCGGAGGGAGGAAAAATATTAAATAGTAATTGACTAATAAGTAATATCATAATAAGGTCCTATAATTAGGAGAACAAATTATGCGGTGGTTCCTGTATTCTTGTGGAAATCTTGGAGTTTTCTGAAATGGTCCCCATCCCAAGAAACAGACTGTCAAATTCTTCATCACATGGAAATAGAAACTGTCTAGAAATAAGAACTTTGCAAAATAAAATTTACCTGCAAGAGACTTTGAAAATTCTTGAAAGGCTGTATCATTCATGTATGTCTTTTATGCGAATTTTTACCATAAGTCAAAAACTGTAACTTTTCATCGAGAGTTGTAAAATATGACTCTTCACTAAATAAAGTCAGGTCAACTCAACAATAAAAAAGGTCTACACTAATTTGAGATAGACTTTTGTATTTAAAATAAAAGAATTATATATTGGCCTTTTAGTAGTCTTTTTGTTTAACAAAATCTAACAACAAATAAATTTTAGTCAGTAAGTTTAAAGCTTGAATTTTAATAGTCATACTCCTAAGACATGTACAAAACATGTAAAGTCACTGAGACACCCTATAAAGGTAAGTGTTTTACGCATGACTTGAAATTGTGCTTTCTCTTCATTTTATCGTTGTTGCATAAGTACACCACCGGTTGTATAGTGACAACTGATAAGGACATGGGTAGTCGATTTTTCAAGGAAAATTCTTCATCCAACTTTTTGTGCAGTCGAATTCAGCGAGAGAAGGTTTGAAAATGGAAGGGGGAAAAAATGAAAGGATGTAATTGTCTCACTAAAAATCCTGTCTATTTTTTTTTTTGGCTGTTTTCACATTTCTTCTAAATTTAGTCTGTACATAATCCAAAGAGTACCCAGAAGAAAATTCTACAAATAGGATACAAATAGAAACAAAAAAAATCCGAAAAATATGCAAAATATCATGTTGAAGCCTGATTTTGATAGGATTTTTACCCTGACAGCAAAATTTGATGTCACATAGGCAAACTCAACTGCAAGTGAATCTCACATTTTGAGCATAAACAAAACTCCATTTCTGATTCTAGTCTTCACCATCATAAACACAGCCTTAAACAGCTACAACGAGGAAGAATTCGGTGAATTTTAGTCCTCCATTCGTGCACTAGTGTGGAGAACAAAATTTGGAAGTTCTATCTTCGAAGTCGAACAAATGAGAAAAAAAAATGAAGAGAAAAGCATGACATAAAAAATATGTGAATATTCACCTCATGCAAATATGTTCTCAAGTCTCAAGTGGAAAACAAGAACATTGTGGTGCTAATGCAGGGAACACAAAATGAGAGCTTAAAAGTAAAGAGAGAAAGCAGAAATAGCATTTTCTCTCTCTTTTCCTTTCTCTTTCTAAAGGGAGTGTTCGTCTGTGGATATTTCAGTGTTTCTGTGACTGAGCTTTTGAAATTGAGAGCTGAGGTTATAGTGTCTCATTCTTAATTTATTTGTTACATTGCATTATATAACACATTAACTCTACACAGGGAGCACTATAGTCCATATTCAAGTTAGACTAGGACAATTAATAATCACTAGACCACAAACTACCAATCTACCCACAACCCTTTATCCAATTTACATTGCATGCACGATGCTTCCAAAGTTCAGTAACTTATTCATAATTGATAAAGTAATAAAAGGCTCCATAACTTTGTGCAGAGAGCAGCAGTGAAAAGGAAAGTAATATTGGAATCATGCAGTGCCATAGCCCACAAGTTCGGTGAAGCACGTGGTAGCTTCTCCCCACTTTTCCACATCTTACAAGTGTTATAATTACTTTCAAGTTTCAAAGGCCTCACAATTGTCACTAGTTTCAGTACTTTGGTCATGAAGAGTAATGCTTTTTAAGATTCTTGCATCTAACAACCAGTTGATTATGATGATAGGAGAGTTTATTTTTTATTTTAAATTTAAAGAAGATTATGAAACCAAAATTTAATGTACTAATCTAACAAAGTTATGATAATAGAGGTGCTTATTATTGTCGTTGGTTAGTGGTACTGTTAAGAGATTCTTATACTTTTATTTAGTTAATAATTAGAATGTGCAAGATTTCTCTTTGTGGGTTGAACACCTTTGTTTGAGTATTACGTTCTCACAAATATTCCCAAAGGTGAGGCAATGAAAAAGGGTATTGGGGACCTTTTGACCAAAACAAGTAAAGTGACTTGAACAGACCATGTGCACGTTGTGGAGGACATGGAGTCGGGGAGAGAGAAATTTCATTCACTGGGGTACTATGAATGAATGTAACATAATCAACTACAATGTACAATACAAAACTACTTTCATTTATTCAATTGGACTATGTGTGCTCAAACACGTGCATGTTCCTTCTTTAACTCGCCTTTTACTTAATTACATTGATTTTTACGTAAGAAACAACATTAACATTATATATATATATTATGTTTCTTTTTTATTTTAATTAAAAATTATAATTTTTTAAAACATTTTTTAAATTTTAATATTATTATTTTTCTACATGACTAACTGACTACATAATATCATTCATGGACATTCCTCAATATTTTTATTTAATTTTCAATGACATATTAATGGTGAATTAACTTTACTTAATTTTAAGAATTAAAATATTAAATTTGTAATAAAAATTTAGAAATCAAAATTACACATTCCTAAACTTATAGTAATAAAAAAATAAGTTTAAGCCTATAATTTTTTAAACGATCTTTAAAATCTCGTGTTTAAATGAGTTTTAATGACTACATAATTTTGCAAAAAATTGGTCAATGCGTGTCCTAAGCCACAAAATAATTAACACAAACACATATATATGCATGGTCCATGAATTGAAATCCAACTAGATTTTATGAACATTGTGAATCATTGGCTGTAGCTATCTATATTATAAAAAGTCAAATTCTGAAAGGTCTATAATGTGTTACAGACCACATGTCGAAGGAAGGAAAGGGGGAATTAATTGCTGAAACAATTGGATACAACAACTCCTCCGTTTTTTATTCATAGTCGTTTTATCAGAATTTATCGTTTTTTTTTCATTGTCATTTTAATAAAATTAATGACTTATTAATTTTTTTTCCTTATTTTTATCCTTGATAATTAATGTATGTTTACTAAACAATGTACTTATTTATTTTTAATATCTACCTATTTTTCTCCAACTACCTATGAAAAGTTAATGTTACATTTAAAAAGGTAATATGTTTCCAACGAAATACTATAAAAAAAATAAAGAGTAAAATAAGAAAGTAAGTAATAAATATTTTTAAAAACTAAAATATCAATTATTTCCTTAAGTCCCGTGCAAAATTTTAAACAACTATGAATAAAAAACGGAGGGAATATCATTTTATGAAAATGAAACCAAAAACTCTTCGAAAGGACATTAGCCCTATGTGACTTGCAGATACGGGACACTCCCCAAACAGCTTATGATTATGATTTATGAACTATGAACCTTCCGCTAAATTACACATTCTCAATCTCAAGCATCATATGTTGTTTTGATTTGTCTACTTTTTTTATACATATATATTAATGAATAAAAACAAATATTTATTGTTTTTAATACATCATCTTAACCATTCTAAGAAATGTGTTAAATATTCGGCGGAGGGAGAATTAATTAATGCCCATTGTTTAAAATGTAAAGGAAAACAATTTTTTTAAATAAGGTATTAAGTTTAAATTCTGTAATTTTTTTTAAATATTAAAAAACCTTTATCTTTTATAATAAAAACCCTTAAAAAATGCTATAATTTAGTATTAGACTATTTTTTGAATATATATTTATTTTAAAAGATACTTGTAAGAGATCTAAAAAAAACGTTTGGAACTTACTTACACACAATAAACTTCAATTTTGAATTAGAGTAAACACATGAGAGGAAAAATTGCCTCCTCAACTCTTACTATCCATAAATAGTTAGATATAACCAATCCACTAATACAAGTTAAAATAATGAGTTAGTATAAATATTTAAAGACATCCTCGTAATTAGAAAAATATATATTTAGTTGCGATGATGAACATATAATGGCCACAAATAGGTGCATTAGGTGGGTGATGTTCTGAATTGAACTTGTCCAAGTTTGATTGGAAAGTGGAAACCGACAAACGAATATATAAAAGACTTAAGTTGTTAAATGGGTTAATTAACAGCGATTCATAGCCTAATATTTGGCATTTACTTTGGTCATTCCAATTTCCAGGCATGGATTAGGTATGGCAAACCTCAAATCACAATCGCATGGGACATTTGGACTGTACTTAATTTCATATATACTAGCCAGCTGGAAGTTCTTCTCATCAACGCTAATGATGGAGATTAGAAACTTGTTATTAAATCATATACATACAAATACACTATAGAGTCTTTTTCTTTTCTTTTATGTTTCCATCTGTAAACGAGAGAAAAGTATGCAAATCGCGTCATACTCACTCATAAATCACTTTGCTAGTGAAAGCAGTATAGTATTAAAATAGAGTAATATTAGATCATAACAAAAGTTGTACTCAACTTATACAATATTTTCCTTTTACCTTTATCTTTATTCATCATCAAAAATATAATAAATGAAGTCATCGAGAGATATAAACATAAAAGAAATATTATATAAATTATTGTACAATTTTTTATTGTACGTATAATTTTAGTTATTAAAATATGATTTTTATTTTTTATTTAATATATTTATTCATTTTATTTAACTCAAGTAAGTGAATACTCATAATTATATATATATATATATATATA